CCACAACTCGGACATGTCAATGTTATGTTACAATAGCTGACATTTGGTTTGTCTTAAACATTAACTCTGTGATAAAAGTTGATCAATAGTCAGCCTCATTTTCTCTACTTTCTCACCAAATCAATATACATGTCTCCTTTAAAGAAAGGCGAATGCAAACAAAAGTTGATCGTAAACTTAAACTTACCTCAAATTAATGCATGCTTAAAGAAAGAACTCATCAATTGCTTAGTTGCCATTGATTTAGTTTGTAGTCTTGTGAATTAATAAATTACAATACCTTTACTTTCTAAGTAAACTTTTTGTCACTGATTAGTACTCATTGGCTAATTGTCTTACATTTACTAAAGCATCCAATACATTGATTTTCAGAAAATGTCCAGTGCAAGACAAAAAAAAAAAATTATGTGCTTATATAACTTGCATTATTTATAGGATTAAAAGTTACATTCCTTCCAAACTTACAATTTTCCCAAATAACTATGAGGTCTAGTTCTCTAAAACAAAAGATGCACAAAACCACAATTTGTTCCATTTATTTTAGCAGAATGTATTATTCTCTTAAAAGTATCTCTGTGGATATTAGCGAGAGCTCCTTCCTGAAAAGGCAGCAGTTCTTATACAAAGCCCATGATCAGATGCCCTTAACTTGTCTATGGAAATAATAGTAGCATTTCCCACCAACTGTGGCTGAGTATTACCAACAATACTGGAGGACGACAAAACTGGAGGACAGCCAACAGACTGGAAGAAATTCATATTTATTTCAACTCTCAAAAAAAGATGATCCAACAGGATGTGGAAATTCTTGAACACTATCACTACTTCCATACCCAAGCAAAATCTTGCTGAAGATTATCCAAAAATGATTAGCATTGTTCTGCACATAGACTGAAAAAGGTATGGAGATAAGATACACCCTGACACACTCCTTTCTTGATTTTGAACCAGGCAGCATTTTCTTGCTCTGTTCTGATGACAGCTTCCTGATCTAGGTATAGGTTTTGCATGAGCACAATCAAGTGTTCTAGGTATAGGTTTTGCATGAGCACAATCAAGTGTCCTGGAATTTCCTTTATTCTTAAGGTTAGCCATAATTTGTTGTGATCTGCACACTCAAATTCCTTAGTATAGTCAATAAAACACAGATAGACATTCTGCTGGTACTCTGCTTTCAGCCAAGACCCATCTGACCTTGGAAATAATACCTGTAGTGCCATAGCCTTTTCTAAACCCATCTTGTATTTCTAGTCCTTATTTTTATAATCTTCACCAAGACTTTTCTTACATGTGACATTAGTGATGTTTGATAATTTCTACATTCTGTTGGATCATCTATTAGGGGAATGGAAATAAATATGGATTTCTTCTGATCAATTGGCCAGGTGGCTGTCCTTCAGATTTCTTGGCACAACCTTGTGAGCATGTCCAGAGCTTCATCTGTTTGTTGAAATATGTCACTTAGTATTCCATTAATTCCTGGGGCCTTATTTTTTGCAATTCCTTCAAAGCAGCTTGAAATTTCCTCACCATTACTTCAAATGCTGTTTCATGAAATTCTTCTGTGTCAGCCAATTCTTTTTAATACAGTGACTCTATGTATGCCTTCCATCCTCTTTTGATGCTTGTTACTATTATATGAATACTGTTAATCAAATAACATCTTTATTAACAAAGAAATACAATATCCATACTTTAAGCATGTTGTTGTTGTTGTTGTTATGTGCCATCAAGTGACTCATAGCGACTCTATGTACAACAGCCCTAAACTCTGCTCTGTCCTGTGCCAATTGCACTGTCTCTGACACACCCTTCCTGATTACCCCAGTCACTGAATCAATCCACCTCATAGAGGGCCTTTCGCTCCTGCGCTGTCCCTCCACTCTCCCAAGCATGATGTCCCTCTCCAAGAACTTGTCACTCCTTACAACATATCCAAAGTATGTTAGACAGAGCCTCAGAAACCTTGCCTCCAAGGAGCCACCTGGTTTGACCCTTTCCAGGATAAATCTGTTTTCCTAGCAGTCCATGGTATCCTCAATACTCTTCTCCAGCACCACATCTCAAAGGCATCAATTCTCCTTCTATCCTCCTTAGTCACTCTCCTCTCTGATGCATAACAAGTGATTGCAAAGACCATGGCCTGTATCAGACACACCTTATTCTCCTTAAACACTTAAGAAAATAATTTTATAATATAAATACTCTGAATGATATTAGAAGCACAAAACTATATCCTAGGAAATATATATTAATCTTATTTTTCAGACTTGTTTTCAAACTTTAAATTGGAAGTTAGATTGTCATCAGCCTGAAAGTAATGACAATTGGTTACATTGCTGAGAATTAATAAGCAATTAATAAGTACATATTTTAGTGTATTTATAAATCAGCTGAATACAGAAAAGGAAGAAAAAGAGCTAGTTAACGGAAATGATATAACATATATCTCATCTTCGCCTACAGACTTAATCCCATTTCTCTAGTCACTGAATCAGTCTATCTCATCCTGCGTCTTCCTCTCCTGTACTGTCCCTCCACCCTTCAAAGCATAATGTCCCTCTCCAAGGCCATGTGTCCAAATTATGTGAGATGGAGCCTCAAAATCCTTGTGTCCAGAGAGCATCCCAATTTCAACCTCTCCAGGAAAAAACCTGTTTGTTCTCCTGGCAGTCCACAGTATGGTCAACACTCTTCTCAGCACTACAATTCAACGGCATTGATCTTTCTTCTATCATCAAGCTCTAAGATGCATAACAAGTAATTGTGAAGACCATGGCTTAGACTCCAAATTGATATTGTTGCTCTTCAGTACTCTAGAGAGGTCCCTGACAGCAGATTTTCCCAGTTCAACTCATCTTTTTATTTCCTGGCGGCTGATGCCAAAAGTATTGCTTTATAGAGCTATTGTATATAGGGTCACTATGAATCACAGTAGACTCAATGACAGACAGCAACAACATGACTTTCAAACTCTAATAAGCATAAGAACTACCTGAAGTGGCTATAAGTAATTAGATTCTTGACTTTCATGTCCAGATATTCTAAACCAGTGAGTCTGAAATGGAGCCTAGAAATAGGCAGGGGTTTATTTCTTATTTTTATTGGTATGAATATAATTATTCATAAAAAATTGTGTTTCATTCATGTACATATTTATTTGTGTATGTTTGTTTCACTTTCCTTAATTGACATTATGTTTCATGCAATCATTCCCATACACAGTGTTTTAAAAAATTAATCTCCATTGAACAATGCCTACCATTACCCTATCTTTCACACACACATTCATGTAATTCTAATTCTAATTCAAGTTGTTCCTTTAAAAAAACCAGCTTAAAATGCTAAATTAATTTCTTATTTAATACAGAATACAGAAAATCGCCAACTCAAATGCAAATCACTGCCTTAGATGCTGTCTTTCAGATAATTTATATTACTTTACTGATGTTTTAAGGTAGATAAGGAGAATTGATGCCTTTGAGCTGTGGTGTTGGAGATGAGTATTAAATATACAATAGACTACTAAGAAAATGAACAGGTTCATCCTGGAGAGGGTTAAACCAGGCTACTCCTTGGAGGCAAGGACTCTGAAGCTTCATCTGACATACTTTAGACATGTTACAAGAAAGGATCAGTCCTTGAAAGGGGTCCTCATGCTTGGGAGGGTGGAGGGACAGCACAGGAGAAGAAGACTCTCGATGAGATAGATAGATTAAATGACTGGGGTAATGGAGATAGGTGTGTCAGGGACAATGAGATTGGCACAGGATAGAGCAGGGTTTAGGGCTGTTGTATATAGAATCATTATGAGGGGCAGGCAACTCGATGACACATAACAACAACAATAACAATAACAACAGTGTTTTTGAGCCTCTGCAGCACTCCCTGGGAAAACTATTCATGCTGGGAAAAGTCAAGGGTTAGAGAAAGGGAAGAAAATGCTCCTCAAAATAAGCTGACAGAGGGACTGTAACAATGGTGTCAAGCTCATCAGAGATGGTGAGGATAGCATATGGTAGGGCAGGGTTCAGATCTTGCTCTGAGGTTGCTCTGAGTCATAGATGACTCAGCAGGTACCCAAGACAAACAAATAGTGATTAACGTATCATTCAATAATGTTAATAGTCCCACCCAAGCAGATAAATGCACACTTATGTTTTTTGTGGCTTTGTTCACAATAGCAAAGAATTGGAAACAACCTAAGTGCCCATCAACAAACGAATGGATAGAGAAGTTCTGGTATATTCTTCACACAATGGAATACTACACAGCATTGAAAAACAAGGAACTCATGCAATATTATTCAAAACGGGTGACCCTGGAGGACATTATGCTGAGGGAAATATCTCAGTCACAAAAGGACAAATATTGCATAGTGCCACTGTTGTAGAATGGGACTGACATCAGGGTTGGAGTAAGATTGAGAAAAATTGGATAAATAATGTATACTGCACTGAAACAGATGAGGGAAAGAACAGTTTAATAGCAATATATGATTGGGTATTATCGTTATGACAAGAATCCAGAATGAAGGTTGCATATTGGAGTGTGCTCGGGGGGCCTGGG